GAGCCCAGGAGTTGGAGGTTGCTGTGAGCTGTAATGCCACGGCACTCTACCCAGGGGGACAGCTTGGGGCTCTGTCTCAAAAAAAAAAAAAAAAACCAAAAACAGGCTCAGCGCCTGTGGCTTAAGCAGCTAAGGCACCAGCCACATACACCTGAGCTGGTGGGTTCAAATCCAGCCCAGGCCCCTCAAACAACGACAGCTGCAACAAAAAATAGCCAGGCGTTGTGGCGGGCGACTATAGTCCCAGCTACTTGGGAGGTGGAGACAGGAGAATGGCTTAAGCCCAGGAGTTAGAGGTTGCTGTGAGCTGTGATGCCACAGCACTCTACCCAAAAAATAAATAAATAAATAACAAAAATAGGGCAATGCCTGTCGCTCAGCGAGTAGGGCGCCGGTTCCTATACCAAGGGTGGCCGGTTCAAGCTCGGCCCAGCCAAACTGCAACAAAAAAATAGCCGTGCATTATAACTGGTGCCTGTAGTCCCAGCTATTCAGGAGGCTGAGGCAAGAGATTGCCTAAGCCCAAGAGCTGGAGGTTGCTGTGAGCTGTGACTCCACAGCACTCTACTGAGTCAACAAAGTGAGACTCTGTCTCTTTAAAAAAAAAAAAAAAAAAACACTACACAAGGCAGTGCCTGTGGCTCAAAGGGGTAGGGTGCTGGCCTCATATGCCACAGATGGCAGGTTCAAACTCAGCCCTGGCCAAAAACTGCAAAAACAAAAAACCACTGAGAGATACTGAGAGATACAGAAATATGAGACTTTGGAATGGCAATGTTTATATGTTTCTACCACTTCTAAGGTAACCATGGGTTAAGTGAATAGAACTTTAGTAAGATATAATTAGGATGATTACTCACTTCTGCGTTTCTAAGTCAGTTTTTCTTTCTTAGGAAAGATTTTGGTTTCATGAAAAAATCTTTTTATTTTTCTTAAAAAAATACACAAAAGAAATGATAAACGTTTGAGGTGACGGTTATGCTAATTACCTTGATTTGATTATACAACATACACAAAATATATTGTACCACATAAATATGTACAATTATAAACTAAAACTCTTAAGAAAACCCATAAACATGGAATTCTGCAAAATAAGTAGTCATTCAAATACAATCACCTCATTATTCCTAAGTAAGGTTTAGGTCAAGTACCTATTCACATCCATTTTCTCTTCTCTAACTGGTCTGAACATTTTTCTTTTTTCTTTTTTTTGGCCAGTTTGAACCCGCCACCTCTGGCATATGGGGCTGGTGCCCTACCCTTTTGAGCCACAGACGTTACCCCTGAACATTTTTCAACTCATCTCCCACGTTCCTATGTCTAAGAAACTTCCTATTTTCTCCTCATACTCTGTCCTGGGTAGAATTTGGTATTCAAAATATTTCCAAATTACAAGCCTTCTAAAAAAGAATCAAATCCTGCTTTGAAGCACAACAATGATGAACAATCGTGATATACCATCATGGTGTATCATGGTACACAAAAGCTATAATTATTTACGACCCTCCTAAATTATTAATATCTTAACAGCATAACATGTGATGTAGTACAACATTCCACATACTAACTACATAAATTATTCAAAAGCTTTACATGGAGTTACAACTTACTTTAGGGGATCTTCTTGATCACTGTCTATGCTATCAGCTTCACTGTCAGGGTCACCTCTCCATGTCTGATCCACAGTAATCGGTTCCTGCTCTCCATCACTCCAGCTATCTTCATCTGAGGCAAGGAAGAGAGAGCAGTTGTTAAGACTTTCCACTTCTGTAACTAGATTACTTATTAATCCAAACCTTCAAATTAAAAAAAAAAAATCATTAGTGCAAAGACACAGGCAAAGAAAAACGGTTAAAAAATACAACCTAGGCAAGATTATTTACAACATAAATGAGTCAACCCTGTCCTCCCAAAAGGACAAAGAAGCTGACTTAGGGTAAAGCAGAGGCTCACATCTATAATCCTGGCACTCTGGAAGGCAGAAGCAAAAAGAACCCTTGAGCTCAGGAGTTCAAGACCAGACTAAGCATGAGTGAGACCTTTTCTCTGGGAAAAAATAGAAAAAGCCAGGCATGGTAGCTCACGTCTGTAATCCCAGCACATAGGAGGCCAAGGCAGGTGGATTGCCTGAGCTCACAGGTTCCAGACCAGCCTGAGTCAGAGTGAAACCTAATCTCTAAAAACAGCCTGGCATTGTAGCAGGCACCTGTAGTCCCAGCCACATGGGAAACTGAGGCAAGAGAATCACTTAAGCCCAGAAGTTTGAGATTGCTGTGAGCTATTAACGCCACAGCACTCTACCAAGGGTGACAAAATAAGAGTTTGTCTCAAGAAATAAAAATAAAAAAATAAAGGCTTGGCACCTATAGCTCAGCAACTAGGGCGCCGGCCACATACACTGGAGATGGCGGGTTCAAACCCAGTCCAGGCCTGCTAAAACATCTACAACCAGAAATAGCTGGGTGTTGTGACAGGCACCTATAGTCCCAGCTACTTGGGAGGCTGAGGCAAGAGAGTCACTTGGGCCCAAGAGTTTGAAGTTGCTGTGAGCTGTGATGCCATGGTACTTTACCAACGGTGACATAGTGAGACTCTGTCTCAAAAAAATAAATAAATAAAATAAAAAATAGAAAAAATTAGCTGGATATCACTGGCAGGTGCCCATAGTCTAGCTACCTAGGAGGCTGAGATAGGAGAATTACTTGAATCCAGGAGTTTGAAATTGCTGTGACTAGGCAGATGCCATGGTACTCTAGCCTAGGCAACAGAGTGAGACGCTCAGAAAAAAAAAGCTGACTTAATATTGTACCGAACAAACTGTTAAGCACCAAAGCAGTTATGAAGGAAAATGTTACCAACTCAGGGGAATAAAGCAAACACTACTTCAAATTCAAAAGAACTGATAAACAACAATCCTGGAATTCTCCCAAAGTCCCAGTGAATAAACCAATAACATTGCCAAATATGCTGAAGGTACTATGCTAAACCATAGTTAAGTTCTTTCTTAACCTTTAGCCTTTTTCTTTTTTTCTGTAGAGACAGAGTCTTGCTTTATCGTCCTCAATAGAGTGCTGTGGTATCACACAGCTCACAGCAACCTCCAACTCCTGGGCTTAAACGATTCTCTTGCCTCAGCATCCCAAGTAGCTGGGACTACAGGCACCTGCCACAACGCCTGGCTGGTTTTTGTTGCAGTGGCCAAGGTGGGGTTTGAACCCATCACCCTCAGTATATGGGGCTGGCACCCTACTCACTGAGCCACAGGCGCTGTCCCCTTTACCCTTTTCATTCTAGAAGAGAAGATTCTTACCCAGTATTCGGCTGGCTTCACTGCGGCTACTTTCTGGAGTCTGAGACCCCAACTCTGTCTTAGCATATGAGCTCAGCTGGCACAACAATGTTTCACCCATAGGTCCTGGGTTGGCCTTCTTCATTTGAGCATGAAGTGCAAGGGCGTTCCTACGGGCATGTTCAGCACAGAAAGACACCCTAAAGAGGCAAAACATCAATACATTACAGGTCCCTTCTTGAAAGGGTTCAATGATTTCTACAGTCCCAAATCTTCAGGATCAATTTTAGAAAATTAAAATGCCTATTATATTCATTTCTAAAAAGGCCAATTAAGTGGGAGGAATTTACCTGTCCCAAGGTCAATTCATTTAATACAGGCAGCCTTATCCAATGCTCCACCAAACTAAACATTCCAACTATAAACATGTTGACATCATCTCATAAATCATACACACTTTCATCTTTCAAAGCTGGTTTGGAAGGCTACGCAACATTTAATATCAATCCATTGTAGATGAGATAAGATACAGGACACAAAATTTAAAGCTACAAGCTATTATCTAGCCAAGTTACATTTTTGCATTGATAATACTGCATATATGATGAAAGCTATGACACCTCCTCCAGAAGAATACACACATATACAATTTTCCGTATTACTTAACAAAGTTCAAGGACAGACAAAAGAGCCACGCATTGCCTCATTTTATAGAAAAAGTTAAAGATCCAAAGAGAAGAATTAAGTGACCCAGCTCAGGTGTCCTTCCAGTTTTGACCATTTTATTTTCCAAAGATGTATCCATAAACCCAGTTTTACAAGCAGAAGACCTAAAACTCGACAGCTATGCTGAAGCCCACATATCACATCCTACTTTCGCTTTAAGATCTCTCCCCTCCCTCCATAAATATATATACGTGTGTGTGCATACACACACACATATACATACACACATACCCATCTTTCTTCTCTGGCTTTGGGGCAGCACTGGGACATCTTTTTCCATTCTTCGTTGATACATAACTACACTGCTTGAAGGGTGCATTCTTGTCTTCAAGGATGTGTTTAATACAAAACTCCTGCCCCTCAAGACGAGGTTGAGAGCATGGGCGATGAGTGAAGGAACAAGACAGGGGCTCCTGAGATCTGGACACTGGGGTAATCCTCCCCCGATTGGTTGGCAAGACGTGAATCCGAATCCTGTTCATACCAAAACCTGCAGAGTCAAACGGAAGACCAAAATGTCCTTATCCTTCCCGAAAATTACTGCTCCACAATATCCAGAGATTGCCGGGAGTTTCTAAACGACAGGCAGAAGCGGGCCCCGCAGGGTACGCTCCAATCTCCCACCGTTCTCCCCCAGGCCTCCACAGACATTTCTGCGATTCTCCCTTCCCTTAACTTCTCCCACCTTGGCCCTCCCGCGTTCAAAGTGTCTTCAGGACTCGCCAGGCTGCAGCACTGGGAGACAGCGCCAACACCACGAGGCCACCACGCCGCAGCACTGCGCCCCGCCCCCTCCCCCCGCGCGGCGCCTTTGTGCCGTCCCGCCTCAGAGATCACTGCTGGGCCAGGCCCCGGCGGCCCGTGCGAGCGCCATTTTGTCCCAAGGCTCGAGTCACCGGAGAACCTGGCTCCTGGGAGCCTATAGGAAGACTGATTCCGACACCGCTTGAGGCGAAGTAGCAGCTCCGAGCCGACAGACAGGGAGAGGCAGCAGCCTAACTACAAGGTCTAACAGCAGGAACCACCGCCATCTTACCTCGGGCGCCGCAGAGCCCTCCTCTGGCCGAGCCAGCAGCTCTTAACCTGGCCTCGCTCCTTTCCGTGGTCCTAACTGCTGATTGGCTACTGCTCTGACGACGGTATGTCGCCATTGGCCGAAGCCTGCTACCCATGAGGTCTGCGAAGGCGGGGCACTGAAAAAGTGCGGGGCTGGGTGGCTAAGACAAGCTGTCTGTCAGCAGCTCGGCCCGGAGGAATGTGAGCCTGGGAGCCCCGCGCAGAGCGCGCTGTTGCGTGGGTTGCCAGCTGCTGGTATTTTTCCCCCCTCACAGACTGGCGTATTTTCAGGTTGCTTTTGGAACCCGGATCTGTAATCCTAGGTTGCTGCTCTCTCACCACTCATACCACAACGGGTATAAAATCGGACAGAATCTACAGGATCCCTGTACATTTGACTCTTCCACATGAAAAGACTTTAGTTTTCATTTATGAATAGCTCAATACATTTACCGAACATTTGGTGTAGAACGCCCTGAGAAACATTTTTGGGATGTTTATTCTGAGTAACGTAATGGGGAACTACATGTATAAATTATTTAATTTTTCAGAACAATCAATCCGAAGATTAGATTGATAATAGAAAGTATTATCACCTCCATTTTTACAGAGGAGACGACTGAGAAACACAATGGGTCCATAGCTAGCAAAAGGGAGAGGAGGGCGAATTTGAACTCAGCCTTCATCCTTTATCCCTTATTGCCCCTCATATTCTCATTGGACTGAGAATAAAGAAATACGAGTTCTGGTTTAGGTCTTGATTCTCTAAAATTCTCTGCAATTTTAAAATTGGTAAACTATACCAATTTTAGCCTTTTACTGGTTTTAAGTTCAAATCATTCGTCATCTCCACTGCTTGCCTTGTAAAAATGATCACTTTCTTCACATAACCCTTCTATTGTTTGCATCCCAACCTCCCTTAATCTGTAAGATGTCCTGACGAATGAGCAGGTGACATGGTTAACAGTGGAAGGGAGCATAGAATATCTACAGCCCTCAAGAAAAGTAGTCCATTTAGGAACAAGAAATGATTAAAACAAAAGTGTGTGAGGATGGTGCTGTTTTCCAGAAATTTTAGGCAACCCTAAAATTAGGCCCTTTCCTGAAAGTCATT